ACCTCAGCTGGGACATTCTAAAACTCAACCTGATCTGTGGAGACATTTCTAAGGAAATGATGGCAAATCCAGAGAAACCTTCCTTGAGACCAGGCTGCAAGGTCATAAGGGCAAGAGCCCTTCTCACCTGAAAGTGATTTCCCTGATGAAAAGGATCAGGAGGAACTTCCAGGAATTTAGGACCTGTCTTTCTCTGCACAGCTGAACTCTCAAGGAGGTGAGCTATTGTTGAAGATACTTCATAAATTTAGATTTCTACTGTGCCTAAGGAAAGAGCAAAGACTTTAAAGGAAGTAAATCGTAAAAGCCTTCAAGAACTAGTGTAAGAATTGCTCATATTAATATTTAAACTCAGCTGAGGGTCAGTGTGGGGTGAAGCAGCAGTGCCTGACACTGCCCAGGAGTAATCCCTGTGCCCACTCTGTGGAAGCCCAGGAGGATTCCAGGGATGCCCATAAGGATGACAGGAGTGGCAACACCAGCAGCAGGTTCTACCACTGGTTTTGTGTCCTGAGGCTGCCCTACAACTACTGTTTTCTCTAAAATTAAGCAAAGGCAGCCAATCCTCTCCAAACAGCTTTAATCTGAGTTTATCAAGGGTTCTCTGGCACATAAGGATCTGAATTTTAATCAAGGTTATGAAAATGCCTGATAAAGGGGAGTTTTCTGCCACTCTTACACCAGTCTAGAAACGAGATACTTCTGTTCACTCCTGAGGTAACTCCCACGTGCTGCTCCTGGCACACAGCAGGACTGTGTTCCACAAACCTTCCTTTACATTTGGGACTGGGGGCTTTTTTTCCCAAAGCTGAGAGATCTGACTGGCACAATGTGCTACTCCCCACACTGCCAGGATGCAGCCTCAGATGGGATAAACTGGGGCTGGTGGTTATTTGTGCTGTGCACAGTGATTCAGGCTGGGATGGTGCTGCCACTGGAATTAGGGAGTTCCAGGGTACAGCTGGTGTGTTCCATTCTAAAATTCTGGTATGAAATGAGACATGGACAGCAAAAATTACTGACAGCAACCTTATAACTCTTCATGGAGAATTTGGAACAATATTTTGGGGGTTAGAGGGGATCTTAAAGCTCATCCAGTGCCACCCCCTGCCATGGGCAGGGACACCTTCCACTATCCCAGGTTGCTGGCCTGGGACACTTCCAGGGATAGGGCAGCCACAGCTGCTCTGGGAAATCCATTCCAGCCCCACCCTCACAGGGAAGGATTTCATCCCCATATCTAATCTAACCTGCTCTCTGTCAGGATCAGTTGTTTCTGGAGAGCCTAGAAAGATGTTTGCTGTTATTGATTACTGCCTCCTCTTGTCATGCCTGAATATTGGGAAAAAATCACTTTGGAAGGCAGTGTTATGCAATACCCTGAGTTTTGTCACACAAACAGTTAATACAGCATTTGTCCTACAGAATAATTATGGCAGGGAGTAGTTAAAAAGAGTTTTCCAGAATTTTGGGTTGTCACTTAATTTCTGGTGTCTTAATGTGAAGCTTTAAAATAAAGTGCTGAAAACTTCGGGACAGAGGTTGGAGCCCAGGAGCTGGAAATGTATTTGCTCTGAGGGGGGAGCACGGGGTGGTTTGGGTGGTTTTGGGGGGGAATTTTGTGTTGCAGTTGCTGTGGTTTAGTTTTTTGAGGGTTTCTTTGTCAGCACCAGTCAGATTCAAACAGTGGGTAATGTGACATCTGACTGGACCGAAAATCACGCTGGTTTGCTCAGGAGGAACAGTCTGACAGAAAACACTGCCCAGAAAATGCAACATTATATCTCAGAAAAACCTCCCGTGCCTGGGGACCAGTCAAAACACAATTTGTTTCCAAATCACATTAAACCACCACCACATTTTAGATATGACAACTGTGGTTCTAATATTTAGTATTTTAAGAATATTTTAAGAATATTTCACCAGTTTCACTGTAGTGGCAGCATATTTTTTTATAACATATGAGCTTTTAAGGCTTTTAAAGACCCATAAAAGGAAGTTTCCTTATTGAGTCCGAAATCTTTGAGTGGTGCTGGGTATCAGCAAACTTTACTGGAATCCCAACATAACAACAGTCATCTTGTAACTTCCTAATACCGTCAATAAGTCCATTTAATTTGCTTACTAAATTAACTGATTAAATGAATTAGTTTGCAACTTTATAGCATTACATAATTCCATTTCATTTAAGTGATCTCTGAATGCAGAGTGATCAGAATATTTAATTGAACTTTGTCAAGCATCACAAGATTAATGGTGATGGAGTATTATATAAAATAAATACTACTGTATTAAATAATAATAATAATACTATACTAAATAAAATTTAATGCAAACATAATGAATTTCAGATTAAAATAGTTACAGCAGGAACATTTATTCCTAAAAAAATGAGCTGAGTTCACAGGAAAATTGAGACCACACAATCTGGAAACAGGGTTTTCTTTACATGCAACAGTGATCACCAAACCTGTCCTTTGAGCACTGACCTGAAGTTGCAGAAAACAGGGCTTGCAGCTCCCACAGCCACCTTAATTCCCAGTTTTGTGGAGGATTAGAGCAGCCAGAGCCAAAAGTCTGGGGTTTTTTGTCCTCTTGAAGCAAATCTATCTCAATCAATCCAAATTATAACCAAATTTCAATTTATTTTTGGAAAGTTTTAACATGGAAGCCTGGGCAGAAGTGCCCTGGCATAAGGCAAACTTCTCTTAATAAAATAACAATGCTTAGAATTTTCAATCTTTTTTACAGAGCACAGTAATATTTGAATTTCTCTCGAACAGGGAAGCAAGTGGAACACAAACAGATTTTGCAAGGGCTCTGAAAACAGCACATGCAGCTTCTCAGCACCATCAGCACGAGGAGCAATGGCTCAGGCAGCCAGAATGACACTGGATGGGCTTGGAGGAGAAACATTAAAACATTTGGAATGTTTATTATAGAAGCTGTTTTTCTACAGGAAAAGATAAAATGGGGAGTTAAAGGGGGGTCTCCAGCTGCCACACCGTTTGCTAAGTGCTCAGTTGGAAGTTGGGTGTTCTGACTTGCCCCATCTGACACCAGTTCCCCACCGTATTTTGATTTCCTGGCTACTTTGGGCAATCAATGTCTTGCTAATACAGGCACCAAAGTGCTTTTTCTCTTAGAAAAGCCTCTAGTGAGAGAAGCCTTTCCATTGCCCTGTTTGCAACTTTCACTGTTTGCACCCTCTCTCCCTTTTTTTTTAATTTAATTTAATTTAATTTAATGACACTTGGCTTTGGGGTGTTTTTTTTTCCCCACTTTGACAAAATAGTAGCTCTCACTTTTTAAGCAGGAGTACAGTAAGGAATGGCAAAAATAAATGCTACATTTGTGTATCTTCAATTTTCCAGACTGGTAATTTCAATTGGACTTTATTTTGACCCATACTCCCTCCTCACATAAATTTTGCCCATGAATTCCAATTCAACATACATGGATTTTGGAAGCTGTATATTCCTGTAACCTCATTATTCTCCTGCAAACATGACTGTAATACAGCTCTTGTAAGCCACAACAGGTTGTTTGGGGATTTTTTTGTCCCACAATTCCATGTTATTTCTGCTATTACTTGATGTTTGCAGCCATATCTCATTTTTACCCTTCAGTTTTACCAGATGGTGACTCTACAGGAGAGAAAAAAGTACCAAATACTCAACTTTATGCTCTGCCTTCAAAAAAAGTGTTATAAACTCGGTGGGAAATAAGAAAGTCAAGCAATAAATGCACATATAAAAATCTACAATGTCACTACTGTGCAAAGAGGAGGAAAAATTTAAAATAAGCCTGTTATTCAGCTGTTTGCACAAAACTACTATTCTGCATTCTGGAAATAATTTAAAAGTAGCCTTTGTCGAGCTGTTTGCACATCTGTCTAATTTTAGAAGCTTTTTTAAGGGCATTCTTGTGTTTAATACAAGAACACAAATTAAGTGCAAATCTAGAGTCACTCTGGAATTTAAGGCAGTAATTGGCAAACTCAACCTGCAACGTGTGACTTCAGATTATTGGTGTGTTCTAAAAAAATCGGTTGATTATCACTCAACTCCACACTGCCCCCAGAAAAGGGCTTTTCTCCTTTCCACATTTCCCTGTTTTACTGAAGAAATCTTACTGGAACAACCCTCTCTTCCCCAGCCAGCACAGATTTTTTACAATCCCATTTATGATCCCACCTTGTGCTCCAGTGTTGGTGTGTCTCCTCAGGAACACAGCCCTCAACAATTGGGAATTTCTGGCTTATCTCACAGGGAGAAGCAAATCTGCTCTCCCTCATTTCCTCCCCAAAACACTGGAAGTGAGTCCTACATTATTTCCACAAAGCAGCAGGTGAAAAACCTGATGTAACTTCCTTTCTGGCAACATAACCTTGCCATGGGATAAGACTTAGTTCCAATCAGTTACAGAAGTACAGACATAAAAAATCACTGTTTATACCTGCTTAAGATCACAGGAGAATATTTTAATTAAGTCTATCAAACCCATCTAAGTGAAATGCTACTGTAATTAGTACAAAATTTACTCAGAACAGTTTCAATTGGTTTGCAAGTAACTTCTTAAGTAAATTAAAATTAACTTAAAGTCCGCTACCATTAATAAAAAATTATTTTAAAGTCTTGTGCTACTAATTCTACAATATTTCTTTGCAAAGTGGCTGGATGGGAGTTACCTATGGAATTCCACTTCCCTTTTGGATGGACTCTCCTTCTCTTACCTTGCCAGGCTGCAGAACCAGTCTCAGGGGTGTTGCTGTGCCTCTGCTCCCAGCCATGCCCCCCCTGCCATGGCCCAAACTGACACTCCTTCCAGGGCTCCCATTTCTTTCATAATTCCTAATTATTAATAAATTCCTAATTATTAATAAAGAGCCTGAGAGTTTTTTTGTCCCCTCCAGGTTAACCTGGTCAGGAGTCACCACGGAGCAACAGCAAACACACTCCCTCAGGGTTTGCCCAGCCCAGTCAGAGCAGCTCCAAGTGTTTCAGTAAAAGTTAAATAACTTTATTTGTTGTTCTTTACAGATCTACAAGGTACTGGAGAGGGGGCATGAGGTGTGGAAGACAAAAAAAAAAAAACCAGCAGCAAGATGCCAGAACCTCTTTTTTAAATGTCAAGATGCACTTTTCCCTGTTGCAGTTTCAAGCTCATTAACATGCATAATATTTGTAATAATTGCTATAATAATATTATTATAATAATGCAAAATAACTGTCTGTTCCTAACGTACTAAAAGCACAGAACAATTTCTTAAAAACATGTACTAGAGTGTTAGAACCCAAGGAGCACAAGAGTGACAAACTCCTCCTGTTTTATGTTGGCAACATCCCCCTGTAACCAGAATTACTTTAAAATCAGATTTATTTCAATTAGTCAGTTCAGGCACTGCATTTGTAATTGTTCTAGAACCACTCAATTAGTCTCACATCTTCTGTCTTTCCACAGGTGTTTTTTGTAATGTTACTCACAGAAGTCACAGCAGTTTGGTTTTAATATTTTCAGTTTGGCATCAGCAGAAATACCTACATCAAAACTCAGCTTGGCCTCAGCTTTCAAATTTTAGCCTAAAACCACCAAAATCAGCAAAAAAAAAGACCGAAAAATAGGGGGTGAAGTGGGGAGAAGGAAGCAAAACAATATAAAGCAGTCTTGTAAAAAGCAAATATTTTCCATTGAGTAATGCTAACTGTGCTTGCAAGATAAAATCAAGCACCTAAAGGTGTTGTTACTACATGTAGGACACGTTCTCTTACAACTTATTCTTTAGTACTAACCAGGGAATATTGTGTCACACACCCAAACCAGCATTTGAGAATCCTTAATTAACATTTCTTGCCCCAAATCTATAGTACAGGTGAAATATTTTCAATCATACCCTATTGACAGAGTCAAAAATCAAAGAGATTTATAACTGGTTTTAAATGAGAAATACTTGGTATATCAGGTTAAGCTTAGTTTAAATAAATTATTAGTGTTGCTATTAAAAAAAGAAGAGTAAAAGCCAAATAAACCTGTTATTTATCCCTTCAATTTTAAATAATTTGAAAAACATTAGGGGGGAAAAAGAGCAATTCTGGTGACAGTGGTTCAGGCTTAGATGGTCTCATTTACATCTAAGTATAATTTTTTTTAGGATTTGGGGTTTGCAGTTCTGCTGTCATTCTGTGGAAAATATTGCTACATTTCCCAACTGGAAATATGCAATTTTGAAGGATCAAATCAGTGGATTTCACATTAAAAAGGCACAAAACCTGCTGTACAAAGAGAAAGGACTTTCCCTCAGACAGAAAGACTGAAGAAAGAGAAAAATCTCTGTTCCTGAGACAAAGACTCTGGTGGGATGAAATTCCAAAATAATGGTGTGAATCACTAGTTTATCCTCTAAATATTGGCTTTACCTCTCCCTGTTTCCCTTTGTAGGGGTGGAAAGCATGAAACTCCAGCTTTTAGGAAAAGGTATGTCCCCCTGATTGATAACTTCCTGGGAAACAATTAGTGGGAGAAGAAAACAAATCACATTTGGGGGAAAAAAAATTAAAAATAAATTTAAAAAAGCAAGACTCCTTCCCAAATGTTCCCAGTGGTCCAAGGGAATGTTCTCCAACACTGAGCTTTATTCTCTGCACCCTCATTTCTACCCAGCTTCATCTTTCACTTTACATTTTCTCCCCTCTAGAAATTTTGGCAAAAATGATCCTTCAGAACAACTGTGTGGAGAAAAAAAAAAAAAGGGTGTATTTACTGTAGTTGTTTTCTTGGAGGTACTTCTTGCTCCATCTTGAAACAGAAAATACAGGGATAAAGTGGTGGAGGAGATAATTAATTGGCATGGAGACTTGAAAACAGAGATATCCTCTTTTTGTGGGTGTAGCTGTAAAAAAGGCCGGCACAGAAAGGCTTGAGGAAGTGAAGCAAACACAGCCACCCAGCTACAAGCTTTTTATACTTTTTTTTTAAGAGGGGAACTGGAAGCTCCTTTGACAGAAACAGGCTTAAAATAAATTCTATTAAAATATTTCAGGCCTTGGGAGGCTCTCACTGATCACTAATTTCTAGGCCAGAGGAGATTTGGGACCTGTTAGTGGTGAAATAATTACAGGTAATTGCAGAAATAGTTATTTAATTTAATTAAGATTTAAATACTTCCATCAAGTACTTGAACTCAATTTACATTTCAAGTAATTGTTTGGCACATAGCAAAATTCTCATTTGAAAATTAGGAAAAAAAAAAACAAAACAAAACAAAAAAAAATAAATCAGTGTGGTTCTCTTCAGCCTGCCTTTAAAACAGAAGTAAGCAAGCCTCACAATTTTAAGGTCAAACATGAATATAAATGATATTATATTGACAAATTCTGTGATTATTTTTCCAGTATGGGTTGTCAACTGTAGCTTTTAAAACCAGGGCCTGAACTGGCTACAAACCTGCCATTCCTTGAGTCCTCTACAGCAGCTAAACAAGTGTAAACAACAGGCACACTACATGTGTTTTCCCTTGCCCTCAGTTTCTGTGCACAGTTCATTTTTCCATACTTACTTCTCAGTAAAACCATGTCTCCACATGGGAGCTGCAGATAAGAGCAGAATCATCAAGGTTTAGGTTAACATCGATGCACTTTTACCTACGAGCACAAACAAGTTGCTGAATCTCTGCCACGCTTAAGCAGCACAATAATATTGGGGTTTCAGGTTTATTTTACTACACCAATATTTACGTGCTGCTAGGGCGGAACAAGCACAACTCTTCCATTCATCCACTTGTCAGGAACACACATTTCTGAGCAGAAAAAACTGACATCAGGATCTTCAACTGCTTCTCTGCCTTAAATTTCTAAAGCAGCAAATAATGATTCGCACCTTTAGCACAGCATGCAAACCATGATGTGCTGCTACAGCACTTTAAGGCCTCAAAAACAAGGCTGCAAACTCAGACAGGGTTTTTTTGGGGGGGAATATAACTTTTTAAAATTGGTTTTTATTCATCCACCAACCTGTAAAATTAAGAACCTGTTATGATCCAGATCGATCCCGTGGCTTCGGAGCAGAATTCCAACATCTTTGTATGTCTTTTTCTTGCCATTGATGTGGTAGGCAGAGGAATTGTCTCTGTAGGCAGTTCGAGACACATAGAATTTGCTGTCAGGAACAACTTCATAATCATCTCCTTCCTGGTTTGGGGAAACACAAAGCCAGAGAAACAATCACTCTATCAGTGTATTTGCCTCATATTTCACAATTAAGCAGAGAAGTTTCATCATGTTCAGGTTTTAAGTCAACTGGGCTCTGAGATGTGCTACAAGTGGGAACTGCTTTAAAGCTGCATCTCAGAAAAAAGATTAAAAAAAAAAAACTAAAAAAAAACCCTTTGAGAACTGGACAAAAAATAGCCCAAATTGTTTAAACTGAATTGCCTTCATCTTATGCCTTTCCCACCTCTAATGTCAGATACTGCTCTGAAAATCCTTCATTTATTCTCTTCACCACTGCTTCAAATCACAAAGGAAAAGGCCTACTTGAAAATTTAGGGAGGCTGTGCTATTCCAGCCTGGAAATCTCAGCTTAGGAAGCCCTGAGTGCCTTGACTGCTGTTTGCATTTTCAGCTCCTCTTTTCTAGGGCTTGGAAAAGGAGCTGCTCTGAGCTGAGCAGCTCTAAAGAGAAACTGTAGAAGATAAAAAAGGCAAACATTAAAGATGTGACAAACATGACATCATCAGCTTCAAAAGAGATCTTCGATTTACCTACAAAGCAGCAACCAAAATAAAGCTGGGACTAGGCTTGAAAAAGTTAAAACTGATGCAAGCTGCTTGTAAAAGACTTCAACTGGCCTCCCACTTCCCCAGATTAACCCCCAAGAGCTATCAAATTGCTCTCTAACACATGCAGAGGGTTTTTAGATCAGAAAGTTGGTTTCTAGATGTTCATACAAAGGCAAGTGGGGGGGGGGAAAAAGGATAAATGTAATAATTTTTGAATCTGGTTATTTAGAAACACACCCCTTTTGTTTGTATTTATGTATGTCAAGTCAAAAGAAAAAAAGAAATGTGTTTTAAAGCACTTCACTCAAAGGCAATAAATATTGCCACTTTATTAACACAATTTTTGAAATTTTAAAGTACACTTCTCACTGTTTTGACTGACCCCAAATTTAACAGCTTGGATGTGTGCACAAAAATTCAATTTAAATTAAGAGAAATAAATCCCTTGTATTGCAATTGCAATAAATCAACAAAAAAAGCCCTTAAGTTTTTATCAATACCTGAAGTGACAAGCAAAATAAATATTTTTTTATTTGCCAACACTTTCTATTTCATTGAAACAAAATATCAGGTTCTAAAAAAATTTAGTGGTAGGATGTGGGATCCAGAATTTCTGATGAAAAATCTGTTTTAAAATTGCAGGCATGTTTGCAGTACATAAAGTGTAAATAAGTTTCAGATTCATTATATATTTCTCTAAATTTAGAGAACCTAAAATAGTTTCTAATTGGTTTCAAAAGTTTTGTTTAAAAATGTTTTATTCCATAATACATATGTTCATGTTATAAATTTCATAATATATATAACATGTCTAAACATAGACTTATAAAATTTTAGGGCTCCTTTTAATTGCAGAAATAAGTTTTATTTACTTGAGGTAAATGAGATGACAAGTCTAAAACGACTTCTTCTTAAAATGGTTATTACATATTCCTAAATAGCTTTAAAACAGATATTTACCACATGTTAGTCCTGCAGAAAATAAAAAAGGAATCCCTACTAATAATTTAAGAGCTGCTCCACTCAATAGAGGATTTTTTAAAGTTAATTAACACTGATGGTTTACATCCCAAAGGTAAACTAATCATGCTCTGAAAGTTTTCCCCAGCTCCAACTAAAATAAGCAAATATTCAAAGTTTTCAAAGCCTTAGAGGGGCAAAAAAAAAAAAAAAAAAGGCTCCAGTTTTGTGCCTTCCAACACACCTACCTTGTCAATGATCTTTTGGAAGTGAACTTCCACAGTGCAGCTCGGGATGTCCGTGTGCTCGTCAGAGTTATGGATCAGCACCGAGAGCTTTTTGGAGCGGATTTTTTGGGCTCGGTAGCCAAAGACAAAAAGCAGGGAATCAATGACATTGGATTTCCCGCTGCCATTTGGCCCGATAATACACGAGAAACGCTGCGCAAGGAAAAGGGAGAAAAACAAAAGTGATATTCAAAGGGAAAGAGCTCCTGCCCAGTGCACATCACCCAGTGCATTTGGAATGTTTCAGACACAATTCTTCCAGGTCCGTGCAGCTGCTGACTGGCTGAGAGCTCGGGGTTTGCTGCCAAAGGTAAAGCAGCACAACTTAATAAAAACCCCCACACCTCAGCTGAGCTCAGCTCTCTGCGTTTGAGCTGCACTTCGCCAGCATGTTTGCAAGGAAAGTTTCATGATTAGCCACGTAAGTCTCTTGTGGGCACTAAAAAATATTCTCATTCTTCAAACACGGCCCTAAAAGTTCTGCAGCAAACGAAATCAAGAGAAAAGTGTGCTTTTTTAGGCTGTGCTGACAAATTAAAATTGTACAGGACCAGAAAGTTGCACTTAACTGTTTTCTCTACTGTCCAATAATGAAAATTTAGATTATTGCCACAGAAGTATTGCTAAAACTTAAATTTCTTTCAGTTCTTTTGAGGTCAGCTCACATGAAAATACAGCAAGGAATACTAACACAACAGCAAAGCCTTACCTTCATTTAAAAAAATACTTAAGGGAAAAGAAAGATACCTTATGAAAAGGTCCCAGAGTTTTCTCCCCTGCATAGGATTTGAAGTTCTGGTTTACAATGTGAGTTATCATGAGCCGAGGAGCACCGGGTTCATTGGTCATTGCTGGAGGTGGGGGAGGAGGGATGCTACCCAAAATCTCTTCTAAACTTCGAGTATCCACCACCTCATCTGACACTGCTAAAAACCATCCGAATTAAACAGAAAGGGAAAAAAAAAAAAACAAACAACAACCAACTGTAAGCTCTCAATGACTTGACACCTTTTCAAATGTTCAACCGAAAAAGCAAACATCACCTCTGTAGGAACCAAACCTCCACTTTGGCCTGTAATTATTAACATGAGCTAAGTGGAATTAAAATCCTTCTTTCCACCAACTTAATCTTTTTTCAGAGATACTTAGGATGTCCCATCGATGCACTGGGGGGTTTGTTCCTTCATTATGTAATTCTTATTCCAACACACTTTAACAGGCACTCTGCAATTACAGCAGCTCCAACCAGCACAATAAGGCTGCAAATCCGAAACAGGCCAAGTCTTTCTAATTAATAAGTGCAAAGCCACATTTCAGGCGTGCTCACGAGTCCCTCTGCAAGATTTGGGGAGCTCTGCACGAGGCTCTGAAAGCTGTAATGACAGCACAACTGCTCTGCAAAGACAGGAAGTTTGTTACGAAAACAAACTGGCCCCCTGGATATCAGCAAGGCAGCTTTTCAACAGGCACCGGCAACTCCTTCTTCAAAGAGGCAGCAGTTTTTGCCACTGATTTAAAGATATTAATCTATTTGTCAAGTACCTTCCTTTAATAACTGCACATCTGGCTACCTAAAATGTCACACAGCTGCTGTTTGGCCAGATATTTTCTGCAAAAACTCAACTCGAGGAACTCAAGAAAATACACTGCTTCATGAAAAAGAAAGTCAAATCATTTTAAGAGTTAAGTAAATAAACTTGACATTTATTCCATTCCAAGAAATCCCATACCATTGGCTGCCTATAAATTTGAAAAATCCTGCTGTTGTACCACAATCTTAAGCACAATGTTCCAGATCAGGGATATGAAATAGGCTTTATTAGGAGAAAGTCTACAAATTGCTTTTGCACTTGCACTGGGCCAAACCCTTTAACTCTTTGCGAGCCCTTTTTACAATTTTAAAAGCAGTTTAAACAAGGCTTTCAGCATTCCTTTGTAAAAGGGAACAGTCGGTAAATTCGATTGCTGCTGAAAGGCTCTGCCATCTCCTCACATCAGCACCGACAGCCAGACCTACCTTGAGGAGGACCTTTGTCAAGCTGCTTGTTGCCTTCGTTTTCCACTTCCATGTCGCTGGAGGACTCCTCCAAGGGCTCCCTGCCCTTCCGACGGGCTGCTGTGGAGGGTTTGGTGCTCTTGCTTGCCATGATCCCTGTTGGCCGTTCCCCTTCCAAGCACTCAAACTACTGAAGGGATCTATCTCCTTTGCTGACACAAACAAGAAAACCCCGTGATCTAAGCACTGAACTGCAACCCCCTAAGGAATTTACCTACACGTCTGCCCAGCCGTTTGACTCACTTAGAAACTAAGGACTAGAGGTATTTAGAAGACAAAAAAATCCACATTTGAAACAAGTTATCAAGATTAGCTTTGTAAGGATATACTTTCAGATACATTACCCCCCAAAATCAGTGGGATAAGCCTAATCTGTAAAAACAGCCAGAATCTACCTGCTGAAAACTCGCAGGGACATGTCCTGTGCTGTGACTTTGCTCAGAGAAAGTCACCGTGATGCTGGGGGCAAAAGAGTTAAAGACACATTCGAATAACAAACTAAGTAGCCACACGTTTGTGCTCTCCTGGAAGAACTCTTTACATTTCAGACCCGACACTCGTTTTACTTTCAATAATCCGTGCAAAATAGTCATACATAGATACACAGATAAACAAAAGACCTGCGCAATTATAGCAAAGACTTGACTCTTAAACAATTTAAATCGACACACTCATCTCACAAAACACGACACGACCACTCCTGCCAGCACTCAACCTTTCCCAGAGAAAGCAAAACGAAATACCTTCATCTCTTTGTGATATTAAAGTCAACTGAGCAAGAACGAGCATTACAAAAGCCATCAGCTGGCACTTCAGCACAGCTCCCAAACCGGAGAAATAGAAAGCACCCGAGGAGAAGAAAAGACG